AATGAACTGGCGACACAGGGATGAGGCTTGATCTATGAGCCAGTAGAAGGTTGGGGGGGGGTTGTCTCAAAACAAACCAACCTTCTTGCAACCTTGACCTCAAAGTTCCATTCCTCAGCAACGAGTGAATACATTTCTGTTGTTGAAAGCAGTCTTTAGTGTTTTCTTTTTCTGACAGCCCTAGGAAACCAATATGGAATCCCAATAATTGCTCATTCAATAGTTAATTTCTGTTTATAGGAAAGTAGGAGCAAACAAAAGCAGTCCAGAGAAAAGTAAAATGTGTCACATTATACAGAGTTAAGTAACAGGAATTAAAGAGGATAGGAAGATCAGAAGTGTTGGGGATTGTGGAGAGGATATCGTGCAGATTTTGACAATATATGACCCACTAAGGAGATGACATTTGAATGAATATCTGATGGAAATAATAGTGGACTGTGTATAAACAAAGAACATTCTCAACAGCGTGTAGCATGAATGGAAATTCAAAGAACAGTATATTGGTGAGTTGCTACAGGAGATCATGAGGAGCAATGGAAGTAGGGTCAGGGAAGAAATCTAACCCAGTCCATACAGTTTATATGAGCGGTAGCAAGACTGCCTTTTCCTGTGAGTGAAGTGGCTGCTGAGTAACCCTTACCTCAAATGAGGGGAGAGTGGAAGCAGAGCACTGAGTCTGCGGTGATCATCCAGCTAAGAAAGGAGCTTGGATGAGTAACAGCGACAGATTTGTTTGAGTATCATGTGCACATGTTGCTTTTGACATAGTTTCTTGTCATGGAGCACTGTTGAGCATGCATTTTACAGGGCAGGTCGGTCTTCAACTTGTGTCAACCTTCTATCCTTCATCTCCATTGCTCTGATCACAGATGTGTACCACTACACCAGGCCAAACCATGTAATTTGTTAAATTGTTTTATTATCTAGTTATTTTATTATTTATTAGCACATATTCATTATACAATGACATTTACCATTTTCATTAGTCTATAATGTAGTTTGGTTATATTCACCTCCCATTAATCTCAAGGTTTTGCTTTTCCTTCTATTTTCTTAACACACACACACACACACACACACACACACACAACACACAACACAAAATGTAGGCTCTGTGTATAGGAGAAAGTACTTCTCTAAGTGTTGTGTGATTTCCTGTGGAATCATTAACAAATATCTATCCATCTCAGGACAAACCAAAGAAATGATCCCATCCAAGTATAGGTTAGTTGACCAGTAAGTTTGTTAACTACTTATAGGAGTGTGGTTATTTGAAATAAAAACAGTTCCCATAGGCTCATATGGTGAGGCACTATTAGGAGGTGAGGCCTTGTTGGAGGAAGTATGTCACTGGGAGCTGGCTTTGAGATTTCAGATGTTCAAGATGGGCCCAGTGTCTCACAGTCTCTTCTTGCTGCCTTCAGATCCAGATGTAGAACTCTCAGTTACCTTCATGCCACCATGGTTCCCACAAATTTGACAATGGCTAAACCTCTGAAGTATTAAGTCAGTCACAATTAAATGTTTTTTGTTTGCAAGAGTTGCTGTGACCACGGTGTCTCTTCACAGCAATACAAACCCTAAGACAAGGCGTATTAATGTTTGAAAGGCAGATGCATCACTGGAAACCCTATATCAGCATGGGTGGCAAGAGATTTCAAAGCGGCAGACGTCAAGCTCCTTGTACAACTTTTAGGCAGCTGGGCTGGACAAAGTCTCTGCTTCTCAGCAATCTTTTACTGTTGTGTAACAGTGACTGTGTACCCTACAGGACCTTTTACTTTTTTTTTTTTTTTTTTTTTTTACTTTCTCAGTCTCATAAGCCTGCCTCCTCCCTTCAGAGGAAGTTTCAATTCAAAGGAAACTGCTATACAACCCTGTGAATATGATCTCTAGGGGTATTAAATTTTCTTGCAGTGACAATTTCATTGTCTATATATACCACATTTTGTAATCATCCATCAGTTGATGGACACTCAGGCCAAATCTGTAACATGTCTACCTTGACAACTTAACATAAGAAAACAAAAAATCTCTGCATTACCTATTACCCTCTGCAAAAGAAAACAAAAATCTTCTCTGACCCAGAGCTAGTAGCACTAGTTTATGTATCTAAATATCTAAGAAGGCAGTGCAGCTACATATCAGTAGTACATTCAGGGCCTATAATCTCACTAGTCATAGGTTTTTACAGAATCAGGCATAAAAATCATTCACAGAAACTAGGTCTCAAATACAATTAGAAAGTTGTTTATTACTCCCAATTCATGTTACTATTATACCTTACCTGGCACAATGGAACTATAGTATACAGAACCCACAGTGGGAGTCATTTTTAAAAGCTGGTGTTTCTATTGCTGTAAAGAGACACCATGACCACAGCAACTCTTACAAAGGAAAATATTTAATTGGGACTGACTTATAGTTTCAGAGGTTTAGTTCATCAAGACAAGAAGCATGGCGTGCAGGCAGACATGGTGCTGGAGAAGGAGCTGACAGTTTTACATCTTGATCCGCAGTCAACAGTGAACTGCCTACCACACTGGGCATACATAGGTTGAGCATGAGGCCTCAAAGCATGCCTCCACAGTGACACACTTCCTCCAAGGCCACACCTACTCCAACAGGGCCATACCTAATAGTGCCACTCCCTACAGGTCAAGAATTCAAACATAAATCCATGGTGGCCATGCCTATTCAAACCACCAGTCATTGATTTTTCTCATAGCAACCTGCAGAGTGCTTTCTTGCACGTAACAGGGATCTCACAGCTCAGTTCTAGTTGATTGCTCTGAGCCCTGTATCCAAAGTATGTGGTGTCTTCAGCAATAGGATCTTAAAATCATTTAGTTCTACTAGATAACCAAGAGCTATGTCTCTGGGGTAGGGGGGGTCTCCAAACAATTCAAAGGGAGTCTCATAACTGGTAAGTTGCCCATGCTCCTGGAAATAACTTCCCCAAATTCACAAAAGTTACACTAAGTAAAAAACACAAAATAAGAGGATGACTGGTTGGGAAGGGGTCATTAGTTGATACGAAGGTAGTATTCAAGGTAAATTTTATTAGAATACATTGCACAAATGTACGAAATGGTCAAAAAACTTAAAAAAAAAGTATTGTGTATGTATGTTAGTCATGAAACTAGACGGGATCATGAGGAAGAACAGATATTGGCTACATCTTCTTTATTCCTCAAAACACAATCTGAAATAAATGTGGCAGTATGTGACATAAGTCTTCCAGATTCTACCATGCCTGTCAGTGTTATTGGTTGTTCAATATTTACCAACACAACACTAAGCTTACAATAGTAGCTCAGTTTAGGATCTGGCTTTATGTTGCACAAATCTGAGTAATCTACCCACCACTAAATGGATGCATGGTAGTTCCAAGTTTTATGTCAACTTGGCACAATCTAGAGCCATCAGAGGGAACCTAAAGAAAATGTCTTCATAAATTAGTGACTGATGTGGGAGGACTCAGGCCATTTTAAGTGGGGCTACCCCTGGGCTCGTAGGCATAAATTCTATAGAACAGCAACAAAACAAACCCAGGCTGAGCAAGCCATGGAGAGAAGCCAGTAAATAGAGCCCTCCATGGCCTCTGCATCAGCTCTGGCTTCTGGTTCCTGTCCCGCTTGAGCTCATCCCTCGCTAATTTTGATGAACTGTTGTATGGAATTAGGACTTAGATACACCCTTTCCTTCCCAAGTTGCTTTTGGTCATGGTGTTTCACCACAGCAACAGTAACCATAAGATTATGTTCTCCATCTCAGTACTTTATTTCCCCATGGTTATAACAGGAGTAACAGAACCTACTTCATAAAGCGTCAATGAACAAATAATTTGATATATGTGAAATACTTGCACTGGAAGACTGATACTCTACCATAAATGACCCTGGATTAAGATATACAGAGCCAGGTAACATTTAGCTGATAAACTGAAGATGAATCTCACCACCTTTACCAAACTCAAACTGACAGGTGCCATGGTTGTATATTCATTCCCCTTTGCCCCCAATGAACTTCATTAGTTGTTTTCATGTCTTCTTATTTAAGAATATAAGTAGCTGAATTGCTTTAGGAAATTGTTTTAGCACAGCTGTATGTACATTCATTTGTTTGATTATCAAATGTTTAGATGGCAACATTTCAACTACCGAGTGTCAAATTATGAAAATCTAATTCTTTAATAGATTTTTAAATCCCAAGTAATAGAATTTTAATAATTTCTAACTGAAAATTTAACCAAATGTATAAAATTGCAAAGGACAGACAGACAGACACCCAAGGAAATTCCTTTGTACAAAGTTACTAATGAAAACACATCAAGCCATACACTGAGCCTATGGTACAATGTAAAAAATGGTTTTGGAGCAAAGAAACATGGATATGAACCAGCACTGAATTCCAGGCCAGAATCAAATTCACTATTTGGTAATACCATATACTTGTAAAAAAAAGTGGAAATTAACATTGTTAACCAATAAGATATGCTTGGAGTAGAGGAGTAAATTATTTATGAAAACACTAAACTCACATCACTTTGTTCAAGGGACTTTCCCTTTTTCTTGCAATTCTCAAAACAAAACTGTCCAGTGCTCCTCAGTTATTGAGATGTTAACCGATGCTATGAATCACAGAAAGGAGTACATGAAAGACATACCAGGCAAAGGAAAGGGAACACAAGAGAGAGGCAAACACTCCTCGGCCTATGGGGAAGGAGATGCCACAATTATTTAGGATAGATTAAACTGATACTATCATTGCTAGCTGCACAGTTACAGAGGGAAGTCATGTACCTAGCCAGGTGGCAAACTGCCAAGCCCCTAGAATTCCATAAGTACCATTTTATTATAAGAAGACATGATCTTTTCAGTTCAGTATTAAACTCATGCAGGAGACAACAACACTTCATCTATTAAAAGTGCTGTAAGATTTTCTGTTTTGCAAAATTAAACATGCTTAATAAAATAAAAATACATATAAAACACTTTTATGTACACACAATTTTTAATGTTGGTGATAAAAACAATGACATTATTCTACTTTTTAATATTTAACAGTAGTTAAGACTTCCTGAAGACATGCACTACAACCAGATAGATTCTCTCATCAATATGATGGTCTTGGCATCTTAATATTATGTTCATAATTTAAGTCTATTTAGTAAATAAAAACAGGTAAGATGAACAAGAGGTTCATAAAAAGGAAATACAAATAACCAATAACAATGGCATATCAACCTCATTTGTTATGAAAGAAATGCAAACTTAAATATGGCATCACTTTCAAAAACTAAGCCATCCAATCTTCAGATAAAAGCAAGACAATACCTACAGTTGACCAAAGGGTACAAAGATGGTTGCGTTCACACACAACTAAAGTATAAACTGCAGTTTTTCAAGAGAAATATGATTAACACATACCAAAGTTGTTTGTTTAAACCCTTTGAACCAGTCATTCCATTTCTAAAACCTGTCTGCAAGATGCAATTAAGCACACCTCTCAAAATACGAGTTTTCACTGTACTACTGCTTTGCATTAATGATCCAATTAAAACTGCTGACAAGGAAATAAGTACACTATGAAACATCTCACTCAAGCCCAGTAGTGTTACCTCAATGAATTTCTCCCAAGCCAGGCTTGGCTTTTCCTTTCAATAGTCTGTTTTTGACAGTGGTAAAAATGTCAGACATCTCAGTGGGGGAATCGATTATTCAACACTGATACAACAAATGTCACAACTTTATAAAGAAACCTGGACACTCCAGCAGCAGGTTATGTTACCACAGCTAAGGCAAAATGAGTAGTGTAATGCTAATGACAACTTAATCCTTACACTGTGTGCCACAGACATCAAAGAAGGCAGTATCTTAGAACCACTAAGTCTATGCAACAAGAACAGTTACAAAGAGCAGATGTTATTTTCTTAAACTTACAAAACACATGATCTCTTTTTAAAAAAGTTAATATGGATGCATTTGCAACAAAAGTTTCTGGAATGGTAACTCAAGTCTTATGGTAGTTTTGTGAAAAATGCTTACCTTCAGTAAGTTTACACTTTTTTCTTTCTATAAAGCACATTTATCATTGGAAGATTCTGTCATCAAGTCTATCAATTACAATTCTGGACAGTAAGAAGTAAACATATTCAAAGGAGCCACTGAAGTGGAAATCTGCTCTTAAAAAGCATTTGGGTCTTTAAAAATATTTTGATAAATAAAATTTGACCACATCCAGCATTTTATTTTAGTGAACACATTAGACTGCCCCCTTTTCTTTTCTTTACTCAGGGAATCTATCATGACTTGGTACCATTTCGTATAAGAATTTCTTCTGTGAAGCAAAAACAGTCCCAAAATGAAGGATCCTCGGGTATCATAGGAATAGCAGATGCTATCAAATCATTAAAGTTAAGAATGGTAAACTGCCTCTGAGATGGTTTAGAATCATCTTCATATGAAGCCTAAGAGAAAAAAGAAAAAGATTGCCTAGTCTTTATTTTTACTTCATATTAACCATATAATCAGTTTTATAATTATAAAATAATTCCAATTCATCAGTACTAAATTAAGGCTTAGTAAAATGGCTACAATATTATCTTAACTCCTTATACTACTGTTATCAATTTAAAAAGTGAAATATAAACACGTCTTTCAAGCTATATTTGCCACCACCTGTAGTATTTACTTAAAACACAGACTTAATGAGAGCCCATATGCAGAAGGATCAACTCAGTATACACACATATAAGGAATCTGAGTATCTGTAATTACAGCAAGCAGAAGTGGGTCACAGGCAAAATTTTTCAAACACTCCTGAAACACGAGCCTGGCATAATAAATCTGTTGTTAACAACATGGATGAAACTCACTCAAATTATTACTACCAACAAGGCACCTGACTATGTGTCAAGCCAATCAAAACTCAGAAACACTAAAAACATGTTATAGAATCGCCTGGATGTAGGTGGTATATATGAAATCATAAATGAAGACCATGTTTAAAGTTGGGTCCTAACTGTAAAGCATCATTATGCATTGTAACGTGAGTTTTTTTTGGCCTGGCTAGGTCCCATTGCCCTTCTCTGCCCCAAAGGACACACAGACACTGTATTAGTTATAAGCTGTTGGCTGGCGACTTAGGTTTCTTATTGGCTTGTTCAGTCTTAATTATTCATCCATTTTCTAATGATCCATGCATTTCCATGTGGCCTTATCGTAACAGAGAAAAGGTCTGGGTCCCTTACTCCCTTGGAGTCTACGTTGCATCTGCTCAGCGTCTCCACAGAGAAGGGAAGAGAAGAATGTTGATTTCCTGTTTGTCCCTGCTTATATACTGACTCTGCTCTGCTGTGTCACTTCTTGCCTGGATCACATTGGCGACTTCTCCTGGATTCCTAGTCCCACCAATCTTGCTTCCCTATTGGCCAACAGTGCTTTATTTATCAGCCAGTAAGACAAACATATACACAGAAGAACATTTCCCATCAATGCCTAAATAAATGAGTAAAATGTTACAAAATCCGATAAAATCTGAAATCCAAAACACTTTCAGTCCAAGCACTTCCGATGAGGGCTAATCAATTCGTATTAAACAATACTTGAACTTTATACACTACTTTAATAAAGTTCAGTACTTACTTATATGGTTTCTAGACCATGCTATAATAGTGTCATCTCAGTTTTACAGATGGGAAATTGAGGCTCACAAAGACCATTTGCAAGAGCTGATCACACAAGTTAAAAGGTAAACTTGGACTTACAACTATTTTTCCCACTATGCACTGCGGCAGCACTCTACTCAAAGAAGCAGAGGTACTGAAAGCACAGACATTAACAATGGTGTGAAACAGTGGCATGGCAGTTATGGTGGCAATCAATTATTTTCTTATTGGACACAGGGCCTGTTTCACAGGACCAATTTTATACCTGATATAGTAAAATTGAGTCAAAAGTTCATGACTGGGGATAGCACAGGCCCTAGGGGAGGAATCTATAATTGTTACTATATTAAACTGTCATGTAGTCAAACTGCCTTCCACTACTTTAATATCCATAGATTTGTGTTATTCTCACTTTGGTCAGGGGAGTTCTTTTTTGTTTTGTTTTGTTTGTTTTTTTGTTTTTAAGACAGGGTTTCTCTGTATTGCTTTGGAGGCTGTCCTGGAACTCGCTCTGTAGACGAGGCTGGCCTCAAACTCATGGAGATCCACCTGCCTCTGCCTCCTGAGTGCTGGGATTAAAGGCGTGCGCCACCAACGCCAGGCTCAGGGGAGCTCTTTCTGTAACGCATAAGTTAACCAACACACTCCTAGCTAGGTCATGTGACAAACACAAATAACAATGAGTGCTCAGCTGTGGATGAGGCATCTATATTCCCTTCCCTTAATCCAAGGCTAAGGAAACATAAAGGAAGAGTGAGCAGAAAAAAATAAGCTGGCAATATAAAAGAAAGCTGTGAAATGCAAACTTCTAGACATGGCAAGGTATTACACACATCAACGCATAAGACCTACACAAAATCAAACACATCAAAATTCCTTCACCAGTGAGAGAAGGGCCTCTGACACCCCACCCTTACTGGGAGAGGTAGTCACTGGGGATATGGCTCCCAGCACCCATGCACATGAGCAGCACTAATTGAACTTGAGGTTATCAATATCAATAACAACAAAACATATCCTACCCTAAAGCACTTGAAGCTGGGAAAGAGGCAAAGTAGAGACCATAAGGGAGAATTAGAGGTAATAAATCGATGATAAAAATATAGCCCATACAACATTTAACATTTTCAAAGAATATACTATTAAAATAAAGAACTATAAAGATGTACCCAAAAAAGGTATTCAAAGGGAGCATGAGACTTGAGAGGAAGAATAACCACCTCCCATCAAGTATCAATTCTAACATGCTAATCTTAAGAAAACAGTCTAAGACAAAATTCAACACTTACTTATAAAAGAAATGTTCTGTGGGTGTATGTGCACATACATATACATACTTTGTCATATGAATTTCCTAAAATCAAAGGCATGAATTTTGCTACTAGTATTCGATAAAGAAATTACACAGAACTACAGCTATAGGAAGTGTTTTCCCTTATTAGATAACAATATTAGAAATATAAACAGATTATAGTTGAAAGAAAAGAAGTGAGACCAACCTAAATCCCAATATGATATAAACTCTCACATAAACCCTGGGAACAATCTATAACACTAAGAAAAGGTTTAATTTGTAACGTGGTTCTAATATTCACCAATGTTCAACCTTGTGCCCTTTATATTCAAGACAGCCCCAATTAACCAGCAAATAAATTTTTGCTATGACGGACAGTGATGACAGTGAGCTTCTATTGGAAATTTGATAGTACTACCAAAATTTTACTTGCAACATTTAAGGGCATTTAAATATAAAAAAGCTAACAGGATCTTGTAAAGTTTCTGTGAGCATGTGTGTATATGCGAAATACCAGATAATTTTAAGATTAGAAAATAAAAAACCTTGCAAACTATAAGAAAAAAAAAATTCAGACCACTGATCCCCTAACCTAATACAAGGTAAATTAGAATTTTCATAAATAAAAGCAAAAATATCATTGATTCATTCTTACTTTATGGAAAGATTTTAAAAAATCATAAAGCCTTACACTTTGATGTCTAGATCCATCAGGTTTCCTAAGAGCCACTGCAACAAAATGGTGCTCATCTATTTTGCTTTCCTAAAATAAGACAAATAAACAGATTATAAAACATAAATCGAATTTTTAAAATATTTCTAAATTTCATTTACTTTCTATACACCTCTGATTGGGCACGTGCTCTTGCGCTCTCTCTCCCCCCCCCCTCCCACTATCTCCCCCTACCTCTCTCTCACACATACACACACACACCCTCTTGAAACCATGCAGCATGTAAGCAGGATTAACTATTTTATTCACTAAAAAGCGTATGCTGTGTTAACCTCTATTAGGACAGTGTGCTGGCTAATTTTGTCAACTTGACACAAGCTAGAGTCATCAGAGTGGAGGGAGCGCCTCAACTGAGAAAATGCCTTCATAAGACTGAGCAAGTCTGTGGGGGCATTTTCTTAACGATTCATGCAAGAGGGCCCAGCCCACTGCGGGTGGTGCCATCCCTGGACTAGTGGTTCTGGGTTCTTTAAGAAAGCAGGCTGAGCCGGGCAGCGGTGGCACACACCTTTAATTACAGCACTCAGGAGGCAGAGGCAGATGGATCTCTGTGAGTTCAAGGCCAGGCTGGACTGACAGCCTCCAAAACAATACAGAGAAACCCTGTCTCGTAAAACAAAAAAAAAAAAAAAAAAAAGAGGCTGATGTTTTGGAAATCAGTATGAGGGTTTCTCAGAAAACTGAGAATCAATCTACCTCAAGACCCAGCAATACCACTCTTGGGTATATACCCAAAGGATGCACACCCACACCACAAAGACATTTGCTTAACTATGTTCATAGAAGCATTATTTGTAATAGCCAGAACCTGAAACTTAGATGCCCCTCAACCGAAGAGTGGATAAAGAAAATGAGAAACATTTACACAACAGAGTACTACTCAGCAATAAAAATCAATGACATCTTCAAATGTGTAGGCAAACAGATGGAACTAGAAAGAACCCAGACCCAGAAAACCAAATACAATATGTACTTACTCATAAATGGATATTAGACATAAAGCAAATTATAAGCAGCCTACAGTTCATAACCTCAGAGAGGCCAGGAAACAAGGAGGAACCTAAGAGGGACATATATGGATGCCCCACCCCAAGAAGGGGAAAGACAAGATCTCGTAAGTAAATTGGGAGCAGGGAGGGAGAGGGGGACAGGGGAGTGCAGAGAAGAGAAAGGAAGGGGGAAGAGAATATGAGGGATTGGGAAGGTCAAGTTGGAGGAAGGACAGAAGACGGAAGTAAGGAAAGAGATACCATGATAGAGGGTGCCACTGTGGGATTAATGAGGAACCTGGCACTAGTGAAATTCTCAGTAATCCACGCAATAGTGGAGAGCATACCTTAACTTCTCTTTCCTATAATCAGACTGATGACTACCTTAATTGTCATCATAGAACCTTACCCAGTAACTGATGGAAGCAGGTGCACTAGGCCAAACTCTTGGAGTGCAGTCATAGAGAGAGGAGTGATAATATGAGCAAAGGGGTCAAGACCTTGATGGGAAACCCACAGAAACAGCTGACCCCTAGTAAGTGGGAGCTCACTGACTCTGGAATGACAGCTCAGGAACCTGCATAAGACCAAACTAGGCCCTCTGAATGTGGGTGATGGTTGGGTGGCTTGGATAGTTTGTGGGGTCAAAGCAGGGGAACCAGTATTTATCCCTAGTACATGACCTGGCTATTTGAGTCCATTCCCTATAGAGAGATACCCTGCCCATCCTAGATACATCCTAGATGCTTGAGTCCCTATCCTGACTTCTTTAGAGATGGACTAAGCTAAGACATGGAAGTGTAAGCCAAATAAAGCCTTCTCTCTCCAACTGGCTTTTGGTCACTGTTGTTTCATCATCGCAATAGTAACCCAAACTAGGACAGACAGTAACATTTTAAAACACAAGTCCCAACCCCTTTTAAAATACGATACTCTTTTTTTGAAATTAAGAATTTTTTGTTTCTTTGTTTTTGACGCAAGGTTTCACCACGTAAGTGGCTGGCCTATATACCAGGCTGGCCTCCAATTCACAGAGATCCCAAACGCTGAGATTAAAGACAAGCACTACTATGCCCTGCTAGGACTGAAGAGTTTTAATGATCCAATTTAAGTTACGTACTTTGAACCTATTCAAGCACATAACAGACATATCCTAGGTACTCTTGACCTTCTTGTAAATTTCAGGAACACCCTAGATTACTCATCTACATAGATATGCAAAGTCTTAGCTATAATAATTACAATAAGTATTTTACCTCAAAAGCCCATTCTTTTTCTTCTTCCCCATCCAAGAACAAACGTGTTTCCTTATAAACCTGGCCTATATCCAAGTTTAATGGTGATACATCAAATTCAAGTCGATGCATTTCAAATCCCAATCCAACACCAATGGCTTTTATAAAGCTTTCTTTCAGTGCCTACAAGAGAAAGTGACATTTTTCTCTTAAAGAATTCAATAGCTACAACTTTTTGTAACATTTACAGATACAATACATTTGGATTTCTAACTGTTTTTATAACTTTTTTCCTTTGCTTTGTTCATTATAACAGCACCAGAAACAAATCGTGCTAGTAGTATTCAGATAAATCATTTAAGATTCCTGAAATGTAAACAGTAATGACCAAACAGTGTCATCCTCATGAGGTTGCTGAATTATAAAGACACTAAAGTGACATCTTCTGTTAAATGGGGCTCATGTGTATGAGTTTAATACAAAGCACATTACCATAAATAATAAACAAAACTTTAGTTTTAAAAATAAGCCACCTAAAGCCAGGCGTTGGTGGCGCACGCCTTTAATCCCAGCATTCGGGAGGCAGAGGCAGGCAGATCTCTGAGTTCAAGACAGTCTCCAAAACAATACAGAGAAACCCTGTCTCGAAAAAACAAAAATAAACAAACAAAAAATAAAAAGCCACCTGCTAATTATACATTACAGGCTACAATTTCTCAAAACAATGCCATAATAATGTAATATAGATAATAAAAAAGTTCTCAAGGAATTTGGTCATTTAGATCAAGCATTGTACGGCATTACCAGGAAACCAAGTCCTTCACTCTTATTTCTAGTGAAGACAACGAAATTATTACTGTCAAAATGACAAAGAAATTATACCCAATGACGGTAAAACATATCCAGTTGAGTCCATTCATCATTAAAACTTCTGATTGTTTCCCACTCCTTGTTGGTAAACTTTCTTTTCATAATATGAAAGAATTCTGGAATTGAACCACGACCTATTAAATCAGAGAATATAGAATTAAAAAGATACACTATTCAAAAGGAAAATAAAATTTTAAAGCTGTTGCATCACTGAAGCTATTGAATACCACAAAAAAAGGAAAGTCAACTTATACAGAAAACAATCCTAAATGAGGGCTGAAATGTAGTTTGGTGTGCAAGGTCCTGAAATGAATTCCTATTACTATAAACAAACAAAAAGAAATACTCTTCCATAAAATAGCATATCCAAATTAGCTAGGAGCTAAAAAGAACAACATGACAAGCATGGGTTAATGTAGAAGTAGTTTACCAAGAATTTGTGAATTATATAATTAGGCAGAAAACCCAATTGTTTTCAAAAGATCTCACAAAAAACACAATACCTGGCAGTCAAGTTATAAAGATTAAACAACTAAAACATCTTATGTATGATAAAATACTTCTCAGAAAACCAAAATAAAATTTCCACGCTATATTTGGTTTTAAATTTTCACTCTACTATATTACTGGGGGAAAAAAAAGTAACTATTTCCTAACAGTTTGTAACTAGAAGACAGTTAAACAATACATACTGTTTATTTAAAGTTACTACTGAGGAAAAAAAATCAACATATACATACACACACTCAACTGTCGGAAGCAGAGCATCTGGAATGAAATAAAAATGCAGTCTTCCTTGATGTGGTTTAGAATTTCTGCAGTAACCAAATGCCTCTACCATAGTGAGTTAGGGAAGGAAACCCTACAAGTCAGTTTCTATGCAAAGATGTTTATGATTCCCCTAACCTCCCACTTCAATAGTCAAGTCTTCTAAACAGGTTCATTTTGGTTAATCCGGATATATGTGGTACTTGAGACTGCAGCAATTCTCATTCATTTTTCAAGCACTAAAATACTACAATGTGATCTTGGGAGTCCTGGAACAAGAGAATATTACCATTTAGCGACCTGGATGGATCTTTTTAAGTGATCTAAGACTCTTTTTCAGTTCACTGAGAACTACTTGAGCACTTCAATGAAAACTGGTTCATTTGTTGTTTTTGGCATCTATTGGCTTGATAAATAACATCCTAGAGAAATTCTTTTCAAAATGTAAGGAGCTGAGGAGATGGCTCAATAGGTAGCTTGCTGAGCAAGCATGGAACCAGGCTTGGATCCTCAGCACTGTAAAAGCAGGCAAGCATAGCAGTCACCAGTGTCTGTAAGCCCGATGCGGGTGGGGGGGGGGGCAGCTTGTCAGCAGGGTAGGGGTGGGAGAAGCAGCTGGACCCCAGAAGCTCACTGACAAGCATCCAGGGTTGGTGAGAGACTGTCAAAAACATTAAGAAAGGTGGAAAGTGTCAGAAGAACTCATGTAATAATAATGTTCGGCCTCCAAATTCACACACCTACAAAATTAAAAAGATAAACTTTTTTTTAATGGACTCTGGAATAAGCAGCATATATAAAATCAACAGGAGGAACATCTTAACTTGGATTTGGAATATTTAATACTTTGTATGAAACTATAGTTTTAATGGGGGTAATAAACAAAACTCATAAATTTAATATAAGCCTGTTTTCACCCTGTATCATTGTCTTTTTTAAGTTCTCCACTTATAACCTACAAGAACTTTACTTTTTACCTAAGTATAAGGCAATCAAAGAAAAAATAAGTATATATATCAAAACGATTAACATAAAAGGCAATCAAGCAGTCATGTAACTCATTACTTATGGCCTTGCTACATATTAAAGCACAGTCAACAGCAAGCCAAGGTGTTTCCAGACTCAACTAAGGACAACAGCACCACCCTGTGGTTATGGGGCAAAGCACACTAGCCAACTATTTTATTTTATTCCAGTTTACATAGGAAATTAGAAGAAAAACTATTAGAAAAATCCCAGTAGAAAAACAAACTCACCCCTCAAAATATCAGCATAATTACTAGGTATACACACAGGCAAATTCTTAATACTACTTGTATATACTGATGTCTACTACAATTTATTTAATCCCATGGAATATTAAGAACATTGGTGCAAAAATATGTGAACTCTCAGCTAAGTTTAGAAAACCTCGATTCTTCTTAAGAGTTTAGTTATTAAAGAATGTCAGTTACTAACTTGTTCTATATAATCAAAATCACACAACTGAAAAGTTTGTTTTAAACATAATAATCCCAAACAAAATCATGCTATTCTAGGCCTCTGAAAAAACATTGTAACCAGTACCAGAATCTCAAAGCCCACCTACATCATTCTACACCAAGGTCTTCAGTACACATGCATCTCAGTTACAATTCACCATGAAGCTGTGAAGAAGCTCAACTGACAGTGTGTCATGAAAGCAGGGAAACTGAGTTCAGGCATTAGAAACCATGTGAATGCCAGCGTGGTTGTACAGCCTGGAATACCTGTGCTGGGGAGAAGGGAGGAACCCTGAGGCTTACATGGGCTAACCAATCTGGCTTAACCGGTGAGCTCAGGTTAAAAAGACCCTGTTTCTAGGAGATGGGTGGCATTTCCGAGGATAACATCTGCTATGGGTTGTTATCTGGCCTCTGTACATACTACTGGCACCACATGCACATATATGCAAAAACTAAAACAATAAAATTATTTCTCTCAAAGACTATGAGAGCTATTTAGGGAGAGTGGAGTTAATAGTCTCTGAGCAATGTCTAACCAAAGGCAATAAAAGACCAGCATGGACAGAACACAATGATTAAACAGCTAGAAAGAAATGAGAAATAGTAGATGCCGGAGAACAGAAAACAGAAAGAAGATGAGTTTGAATTCTATTATATGTGTAACGAGAACTTTCTTCACAATTTTAAAACTGGTGTCCACATCTCAGCTCTACCTGGAGAACCACTTAGGAATGATTAATCCTGAGGAACAAAAGGTGTGGGAAGGGACAAGAAACAGGCTCTGCAACTCTTTTGTAATAGCCAGGCCTATTTTATGCCAACTATACTAATTTATACTGATAACGCAGTAGCTTGTCTACAGATCAGTTACATAACTAAGACTATTTTGGGGCGTGTGACAAACACAGTCTTGCAATGTAATTCAAGATGGACCTGAGCTCATGACCAGTCTGTTTCTACCTCCAGACTGCTAGGAATACAGAAGTGTGTTAGTACAACTAGTCACAGTAATTTTAAATTACTCGAATTAATTAAAATTAGAATTGCTTCTCAAAATATTTTAAGTTATTTTTATTGTGCCAATTAGCATCCAAAATATAATAAAAATACACACATGAAAATGAAAACCATGCAAATAAAACTCCTACTTTTTCCCAAACTTAAATATTAATTTTTATACTGATCCTGCTTGTTTTGTAAATACTGTTAACTGAACAAATGACAAAGCACCTGAAGGAAGCTCAAGCATCTTTAATAGTCAATGAAAATTAGGAAATGAGGGAAAGACTTGGCCAGGGAAACAACATCCCCCAAGCTTTAGGAATTTACACTATCAGCAACTTGTGCTAGGATTAGAATCTCGAAGCCTAAACCAGATTTGAGAAATGACCTGTACTTAGTCAACACAGGTTGTAAGGAAATAAACCCCACATTCCTACCTGACATTTCTTATGGACATGAAATGTGGAAAAGAGAATTGTCTCTTTCGACATGCTAACAGCACTGGTCTATGGCAACTGTGTCTAACAATTAACAATGCTTGGTACTGAATAGTTTTCCCCTTCTAGTCAACACTACACCTCCCATCTTTCAGCAAGACTGAAGAACATTCCTTGGTCAACTGCTTCACTCATTCTGGTCTAATAAATCGCCAGTGAAGCCAACCGGTATTTTCAATCTTCACTAACAAAGGATGATGTATCCAATCGCCATTTGAAAATTAGTGGGATGGTAAAGACACCAGTCCCAACTGAATGTATCTCTCCCCTTGTGTTACTGAGCATTTAAGCTTTAGCCAATAGAACTATAAAAAGGAAGAAAAAGGCTTTAATTAAAATTGCCAGGGGTCAAAGATTTAATAAAGCATTAACAAGAAACAAATTCTATTTCTGCTCAACTAACTTCCCAACATTAAAAATTCAACTAGTAACGACTTACTCAGTATTGACCACAGTCAACACTGCACAAAACTGGTGGTAAAATCTGTTTGTTTATTTCCAGGCAGACTATTTCTAGCTGTGCTGCCTTCCTTCTAAGTGTTAATGGCCTCGACGATAACTCTAGTCACAGGGAAAGCTCATGTGACCATTCACCGGCGCTACAAGCCCATGTGGACTATTCTCCACCATAACATACCATTATATTACATAATATGTTATTACACTATAGATTGTTAGATTATTATAGAATATGCCTTCTATACCAGGTCATGTCTTTGGAGTTGTGTCTCAGTAAGGTTTGTGACCTTCAAAATTCATGTTGAAATTTAGTTGCAAATACAACAGTGTTGTAAGGTCTTGGGTGCACCACCTTCATGAATAAATTAATTCTTATTCCAGTCCTCAAGGATTTCCCTGAACCCAGAACTATGAGCCTAAATAAACTCTTTTCTTTGTAAATCAGCCTCGGTATTCTGCAACAGTAAGAAAAAAAGAAAAACTACCAAGGCAAATTCATGTGCACAACTACAGAGAATATGTAGCTGAAGGGGTTAAAATGGCAGAGCTACTGTATCTGTGGGTAAGGGTTAATATTAAAAGAACCACATTTTTCAGTTAGATGGCTTTGTCAGATAAAAAAGTAAGGCCAGTGTCTGTATTTGTAAGTCTCCGGGTTTACAACTGCCTAATTGTTAAAGATCTGAGACATAACAAGCCAAACTTCCGCGTCACAACAATGAACTACTACCTGGAAAACTAGTCTTCATTATATCAATGCCAACTTGTAGCTCCGGTTCTGCAGCAAGCACTGCATAGTCCCCCTGATGAGAGATGTTAAAGTTGAAATTGGGATAGGGATTCAACGAGTCTTTCGCGAGGACCGGCTTTCCTTTTGAAGTTCTTTGCAGACGGATATGATTCCAAGGGATGTTTAACTTCTCCGCAACTAGCTTCCTTATCATCAGCCGGCCAGCCTGTTAAGACACATAAAGCACACGGTAGGTAGGTAGGTACCTCCTGTCGTCCGCCGGCCGCGTAGGCGCGCTGCTCACAAAGGGAAGTCTGCAGCTCCTAAGCTCGCAACTTCCAGAGCGTCTTCACTGCTACGCAAACCACTGATCACCACTCAGGCCTCCGGCTTCAGGAGAAGGGGCCTCCGGAGGCGACCTCACCGCGGGGAGGCTTGGCTGCACGCCGCCGCCGCCCAGCCCGCCTCCCCAACCCCGCGGGCCGCGAGTACCAGGGCCGCCTTGGCGTCGCGGGCAAACACGAACTGCCCGATGCGCTCCTTCTCCTCGGGCTGGATCGACCGCAGCGCCAGCAGCCATTCGGCTCGGCTGGGCAGCCAGGGGCCGCAGGAGAAGGCCCAGCGGACGCCCTCCATGGACGGCAGGACGCACAGCCTCTTGGCGGGGAACACCATGCGCCTCACCCGCACCGCCGCCGCTCTTCCGGCCTCTGGGGGGGAGGGAGCCGTCGACGCCGGCGTGGCCACGCCCCCAGGCCTTGGAGTCTGCGCCAAGGAACTGCCCCACCCCCTTTCGGGCGTCACACAAGGAAGTCGGGCGCCCGGTTGTGACGTTTCCGGGCTCCACCCCCAGCCTTCCTTTGGTTGACGTGGGGGCGTGGCCTTCGCTGCTCCGCCCCCAACCCGGAGGCGTCCTGGGTTAGGAAGGAAGAGGGCGGGGATGCGGGCAGCGGGGGCGGGCAGGGGGCGGGGAGAGGCGACTCAGAGCTGCGGCGCCGCGTGACGAGTGGCGAGCGTGGCTCCCGAGCCTCACACGGGGCGGGATCCAGGCGGCTCGGAGCCGTGAGGCCACTCACAGCGGAGGAGGCGCTGACGGGACAGTCGCACGAGCCAACCGCAGCCGGGGCCCCGCGGGCTGAGCTGGGCGGAGACTTGGCGCACTGCGCTTGCAGGTGGGTGAGCCGCGCGCGGGGTCTTTGAGGGAGAGGGGGCCGTGCAGCACTCTCCCCCGGGCAAGGGGTCTGCCACCCTCGGCTTCGGTGCAGCCCTGGACGCCCCAGGGAGGACGGGTCCGCAGTGAGGAGCCTGGTGGCCCCGGGGTTGTGTACTGCGGCGGCTCGGAGGTGACCCTTCCCTGCCGTTTGCAGAACAACGAGCCTTCCTGTCCCTCACCAGCCCGCCGAGAGCCGCCGCGGTGCACGCCTTCTCCGGTGAGCCGAGCCCCGCCAGGGTTCGAGGCACGACTCCCGCCCGCGCACCTCTCAAGGCCCCAGGCAGGTCTCAGACCTGCGAAGTCACACCGGCGCTTTTCTGTTTCCTGGGTTGCTGGTGTAGGTGGGTGTTGGCGGCTTTTTTGTGAACATCCACCTGAGCAAAGTCGTGGGCGAGTTAGAGTCCAGGGAAAAGTGGTCTCTGTGGATGAATACGGATTCCGCATTTGATGGTTGATAGGTGTCTTGCTGCGTCAGCCTGTCTCCTTCCTAAGGCTGCCAGGAACAATCTGCGAAGGCCAGCAGTAATGTAATCTCCACAACCACTGCTCCTTAGTTCTTTACTCCTTAAGATCGCTTTACTCTTATCCTTACGTGTTCCAGTGAACATTTTTGTGACATGACACGCCCCCTCGAGTCTTCTGCAGGTACTTGGGGTTTTTAAGCGTGTGCGTACAGACAATGCTAACTTCATGTAGCATCTTCCCTGTTAAAGCATGATTGAGGTGATATTTAAGATCTGAAGAACGTTCGAGGCCAGCCTGGTCTACAGAGTGAGTTCCAGGACAGCCTCCAAAACAATACAGAGAAACCCTGTCTCGAACCCCTCACCCCCCAAAAAAATCTGAAGACCGTTCACAATGTGACAGGGTATCTACAGCACACAGAAAAAGCTACAGTAAACAATGTGAGGAAAAATAGATAAGTAAGCAAGTACTAATGCCCAAATCAGCAAATATACTTGTTATGCCAAGTTCGTGAGACCCGAAAAAGACCACCAAGGAGCCCACTCACTGGCCTAAGGTTTAATGTTAGGTTACAAGCCCCGGCAGGTACCCTGTCCAGCAAACTGGCACAGCAGCTGCAGGAAAAGGGTGTCTGGCCTCAGTTGTAACGGGTTTTTAAAGGAAAAAACCGCAAGAAGGGTGGTACGTGCGTTGGCTGTTCAGGATTGGATAAGAGTAGGTGACCTTTGGATTCATTGATGTGGGGGCTAGGGGAATTTCAAAATTGTTACTAACTGTTGTCCACAAGGGCAGTTATGACGAAAAGATGTTATTTACAAAAATTAGTCATTGCCTGACCACCCAGATGGGGTCACTTTGACTGGGGTGGGCACAGTTTGGGTGTTCCTTGGAAGTGTTTATGGTTCCTTGGCTGGAGCTGAATCAGCTTTGTGCCAAGTAGGGAATTTCTCAAGGTGGCCTTTTCTGAGGATTGAGTTAACTCCATCCTTTCCAGTTAACCTTGCTTCTACAATAATAATTAAGGTTTCTGCTTTGCATCTTATGTAATTAAACATTTTATTACACTGTCTCCTTCCCGTGTTTTTAATGATAGTGACACAGACCAGGGCAGCTTGAGTAGGTCACAAGAGGAACATGACTAGGTTCATGATGACTGGAGGTGATGGTACCCGAGTATTGTCAAACATGTTTTCCTGAATAAGTAGAAAAAGACAGTGGTGACTTGGGGAGAATAATAAGTCAAGGGATGGAGATTTCTTGTTTGTTTGATATGACTTGAAGGTGAGGGTTCTAGAATGTGCATGCAGAGAAGGAAAAAGAGTGTGTGCTGGAGAGCCAGAGGTCTGATCACCGTTCTAGCAATCACTCCAGAGTAGTGGATAGTATTGCTTTTTGCCATGTCCCTGATCTAAAGATACAGCTTAGTGTTAAAACTTATGTCTTGATGTGTGTTGTTGTGGGTTTTTAGAATTGTGCCTTCCACAATAATAGCTACACTGTAAATGTTCTAACAAATAACCTTCCTTCAACTTATCTGACACTTATGAGCTAGAAATATATTCTAAGAATGGAAATATCATCAAAACCCTGCCATGTTTGAAGTTAGTGATTCTTGATTATAGAATTCATCTTTGTCTCCTGGGAACTGTCCTGGACACCTAAAATTTTCTAAAAGCTAAAGGACTCATTTTTCACTTGAGAGCTTTATTATTTTCTCCCACCAATGACTTACATTCTCATCATTTAGGTCTCAAACACATCCTCTAAAAGTCTGTAGTGTTGTAGTTGATGAGAGCAAGGGCTCCAGAGTCAGACTATCTGACTTTACATTCCGCCTTCCCACTTACTCACTGATGTGACTTAAATTAGCATCTGAAATAGCAAAACTTCATTTCCCCATCCATAAAGTGAGAGATAATGACTGCACTTGCTTTGTTTAAGTAGGTAGAGGACTTAAGAGGCTGCAAGTGTCAGCACATCCTCACTGGGAGATAAGCAGGAAAAGAAAGAAAGAAAGAAAATGCAGGAAGTGTAGTTGTATGTCTACCATAGTCTCCAAAACACCTCTAGTTCTACTCAGTACTTGTGACGGCTATACTTGGTTGTGAACTTGACTACGTCTGGAATGAACTATCCAGACATGTGGTGTGAGAGGTTTTCTGCTTGATTTGAAGGGAGTGAATCCACTTCTAGCCAGAATGTTTTGAGATGGAAGACACACACCTCTGATCTGGAAGAAACATGCCTATTATCCAGATCTTGAGGTGGGAAGACACACCTTTAATGTGGCGCATACCTTCTGAAAGTCTATATAAGGACAGAAGAAGGAAACTTTTGCTCTTTGCGTTTTTGCCCTCACTTTGCTAGAACACCCATTCCTTCATTGGCATTGGAGCCTAGTTCTTTGGGAATTCCAGCATATCCAGAAGACCAACTGAGACCTTGTGGACACAGCTAGCCATTGTTGGATTAGCTGGATTGCAGCCTGTAAGTCATTTCAATAAATTCCATATATGTGTATGTGTATATATGTGTGTAAACATATGTATACATATATATATATATATCCATATCCTAAGTTCTGTGAGTCTAGACAATCCTGACTAATACAGTGCATTTGTATAACTTCTATAAGAAACTCCATATTTAGATACTAATGACTGGAGGCACTAATGAAACAAAGCCCAGATGAGGTTGAACTCAGGTCAGCTTTAGTTTCATTTACTTCTTTGAAGTAGCGCATGCTTTTATATCATTACTTTATAAGAAGGATTTGTTTCGGGAGGCAGAGGCAGGGGGGGGGAGTGTCTCTGTGAGTTTGAGACCAGCCTGGTCTACAAGAGCTGGTTCCAGGGCAGGTTCCAAAGCCACAGAGAAACCCTGTCTCGAAAAACCAGAGAGACCAGAGAGAGAGAGGAAAGAGAGAGGAGAGAAGGATTTGTTGTGAAGCCTAATTCTTGAGCTTTTAAGTTTTTAAAAATGATTTTTATAATTTCAATATAGTCTGTTTGGAAGTTACTTCCATGAACACTAAGTACATGTGTTCTTCTGCACAGTAGTTAATGATGAAGTAATAGCACAGAGAGAATTATGAATTTGGAATCTGTCTTTAGAGGCATAATGGAGTAGATCACTTCTGTGATGCTTGTTCATATAAGAGGTTGAGATAAAGGATTGCCAGTTAAAGGTCAGCCAGCAATATGTAGTAAATTCTTCCAGATACCTCTGGCTGTTCTCTCTCACATATTTGCAAGAAAAACCTTAACTATGTTGTAGAGCAGTAACATTGGCAGGTTTCTTTTTCCTGCACCCCCTCAACATGTACGTGGTGCAGAAAACTGGAATATATATGAGTGTTTCACCCCAGGTATATGCAAAGGGGTGCAGTAAAGAAACTGCCATTTGTTTGTCTGTTTTGTTTGTTTTTTTATTTGTTTCTTGTGTAGAAGAGAGAAAATATCCAGAGGCATCTTTCAGAGTCCAAAGCAGAATCAGAGAAAAAGAGGGAGGGAGGGAGGCAGGGAGGGAGGGAGGGAAAAGAAGAGTGAATCTGCCCAGCAGAGTGGACATGGCCAGGGCTGTCTATGGGAAGAAAGGACATTAGCCAGAGAAGGAGACTAGAAAGAGTCAGGTTGTGAGGATGAAGAATACAAGCTTTACAACTCAGAGGGGCCGGGCGGTGGTGGCGCACACCTTTAATCCCAGTACTTGGGAGGCAGAGGCAGGCGGATCTCTGTGAGTTCGAGGCCGGGCTGGACCGATAGCCTCCAAAACAATACAGAGAAACCCTGTCTGGTAAAAACCAAAACAAACAAACAAACAAACAAACAAAAAAACTCAGAGGGAAAGGTATCCTTACAGTCAGGAGCTGTGGCACATGATAAACCTCACACGAGATTTATGGGGAGGGAAAAACCAGGAGGGTGGCTGCCTCTGCTTGGATGAAAAGCAGCAGAGAACTGAGCAGAAGGCTGGGCTTATGTGGAGTTTCTTGGAGCAGAGTGTTGTGGGGAGGTGGACTTTTTCAGGGTAAAGCTTTCTAGGATAGGAATTGGTGGGATTTCATGTCCAGAGCTTGGGCTTTTTACTCTGTAGGGTGGGGGCTGGGTGTAGCCATTAGGACATAGTTAAGTGTTCTGTGGAGGACCTCAAGGGAGGGAGGGACCTGGCCACTCCTGTGCCTCAAGTGACTTACATTTCCCCCTTTTTGTTTATTGTTGATTAAACGAGTTATGGGTAAGACGGATGATGTTATCATTGGACTACTTCCTGTTGGACAAGGTGAACTTGATCGGCACCATCAGGATATAATTGGGAGTTGGTGACCTCTTTGTGGCTAGGTACCTGTGATCCTCTATTAGCAACTGATTAAAAGTGTTGTTAGAAATCTTTTGAATGTTGTTGAAGGAATCCAGATAAGTTTGTAAGGAGGTGTTTGCCTAGGAGGATTAAGAAAAGGAAGAGAAAAAGGGTTAAGAAGTATCCAATTCCATA